ATAATTAAAGGTAATCATAAAATATTTTAACATTACTATTTGACGATATTTTTGTCATTTTATTTTTTTTTTTTTTTTTATGATCGGGGTGTCTGGACAGCTTGCGTACAACTCAACTAATCCTCAAAGTCCATTGAGTACCTTACAAGCCCAATGTTTTAGGGTAAGCCATAAATGTGGTTGGTGGCCCTAAGGTCATTTGAACCACAAAAGTCAATAAAGAGAGCAAACCTTCATGACCGCTAGGCTAATCCCTTGAGGGTCTGCTTGGGAGTTTTATGGTAGCGGTTATGAGAGTAAACCATCGTAACGGTTTTGAGGGTAAACCATCATAGCGATTTTGAGGGGTTTTTAATAGCGGTTTTTAAAACACTCAACCTGTGCTTGACAGTTTATTTTCCAACGGTTCTCATAATTTTTTTAAATGATAAATTTACATAAATGCCCATAAAGTTAAAACACTCTCTCTTTTGCTTAATTAACTTTGAAGTTATAAACTTGACTTGCATGTTTTTAGCTACTGAGTCTTGTGAAAAAGGTGTATTTACAAAGCTGTACTTATGTTTCTTATTTAACACTTGGTTTTGGGTTTTACTTCCATTATCATTAGTCTGTGTCATGGTTATCCGATTTAGTAAGAGTAGAAGATGCTATAATTATCAAATTGGAATGCTGGACATAGTTTTGACTCATGTGATAATAATTCACCAAATAAATTTGAAAAGAAAGGAAAGATTGTATTAAGTTAAATGGGAGAAACAGATTGCGGTCAAATACTGGACACGGTTTGCTTGAGAGGCGTTGAAAATGGTGGTTTTTAAATAGCTGGTGAATTGACAACTTTGGTTGACGCCTAATTTGCTGAAATGAGGAGAATCTAATACAAACCCAAACAGTTTGTTGCAGCAAATTCAAACCATTCACTCACTTCGTGTGCAGCAGCAAAGAGTTTTGTGCTAGGAGAAGTCAACAGCAGCGAGAGATTTGTGTGCAATAAGGAGTGGAAAGGGTTTTTTGGGATAAAAGTTTTGAACCAGCCAAACACCCCAATTTGAGGTGTTTTGTAAACCCTCAAAATATACTACACTGGTTTTGGGGGGTTTTTAAACCATCAAAACCAGCCTATTAAAATCTGGCAAGTAGGGTTTTTAACACCTCAAAACCAATCTAATTAAAACCCCCCAAAACCTTGAAAAAAAAACCCTAAACAGACCCTGAGAGATTTTTAACCAACGATTTTACGAACTTTAGTTAATTTCAATGGAGATTTTTTTAGTATTTGAAACAGTAAGATTTGGACAAGTTTGTCAAAAGCCTTGGAGATAAAGGTTATTAACTCCATGGTTTCATCAAGATAATTTTATTTCGGCTTAGTTTACCCACCATTTTAAGGGTCGGATCGACCGATCGGTCGGATCAGGACTCGGTAGCCTCTTTGGTATGATTCAGTTTTAGGGTGTTTCTGATATTTTTCAAAGTTGTAGGATTAATTGAATTTTTTGGGGGTGTTTTTGCATATTTCAAAAATTAGAGATTAATAGATTTTTGGACATTTTTGAAATAAATTAAAATTTCAAGCCTAATTTTTATTTTGTAGGGGTATTTGATAATTTATTAACATTAAGAGACTATTAAAAATTTTAAAAATATTTTTATTGTTTATGTCATTGATCCAACCTGTTAAACTGGTCGACTCGTGACCTGATCACCTTGTCAGGTCTCACAATGGATTGAGTTTTAAACATGAGTTTACCAAGTTAGCTCCCCATCCGCAAAGCCAATTTATAGCCAAATCTTATCTTTTAAATCCAGCTCCAACAATAACAATAATGTTATATATATTATATATTTATTACAATATTTACATGACAATATAAAATATAAAAAAAAAAAAACAGTTAAAGCTGAAATTTTGAAACAATATAATTGATTCGAAATTGTAGCACTATGTTATTTACAAATAATATTACACTTCTTTAACTCCTCCCTTATATATATATAATATCATCACACGAACTATTTTTAGTTATATAATGTTATTTTGTCATTAAAGATCTTAATTTACAGATGGATACAAACTAAATATGATTATTATTTATTTGTATTTTAATATCTTTAATATTATGAAACGTGTTTTCATATTAAAACTATAGAAAACCATAATGGCTAAAATTATTTTTTGATTTTATACTAGCTTTTAGGATTGTATTCAAAAACAGTTTTCAAAATATTTTCACTCATTTCACCAAATACATTTTCATAAGATTTTTAATATCCCTTGTTAAAAAAATAAAATAAATAAAAATTGTAACTGAAATTCTATATTAAACATGTTACTCTTCTTTAGTTTACCCTTGAAAAAGAATTAGACTTTTCAATGAGCTTTTGACTTTGGACAAGAATAAACGAAAGATCAAAGAATTCTTCCAATCTTTGAATGCGTAATTAACGCAATATTAAGAATAAAGTAAAGTATCACTTCAATGGAAATTCATTCTTTTTGCTCCAGTAATTAATATAAGAATCTTTATTTCTATTAATGCAGGTTCACCAACACCATATTTTTTTATCAAGATTACAAATTATATAATGATTTGTAATCTTGATAAAAAATATGTAAAATATTAAAAGTTAAGAGACTTTTTCCCACCCAAAAAATGGCTAAATAACTTTCTCACCCTCAGACTTCTAAATTATCATTTTACCACCCAAAAATTATATTCCTTTAACAATTTCCATTAAATACATTATAAGGATGAAAATACCCCTACCAAAGATTAACCCCCAATCGTTGGCGACCGCAACGAGCCTTAACCAAATTCTGACATTGGAAAACGGTGATGTTAGGAAAGTAATTAGGGTCGGGAAACCTAGGGGTTTTGTAGGGGAAGGGCCAATGAGTATGTGGGTGGTGACACGAGAAATTTTGGCCACTGGAATCTAGCTTGAACAAAGAGATGCACATGTTAGCAAAGGGCAATGCATGTTAGCAACGTCGCAACTGGCGATTTTTGCCTTTTTCTAGTCGATTATGGCGTCCAAAATCACTTCCGAGACCATATACAAACTCCTCACAACTTCCTCTACAAAACTCATACCTCTTTTTCCCTTCATATCTCCCATTTTTCATCGGTTTTTGCACTTTTTTTTCTTCCCTTAATTGCCACTTCCAAACCCAATTCCAGCCAACTCTGACCACCAAAATCCAATCTACCACCACCAAAAGACTTACCCACCTCTCTACTACAAAAACCCCAATAAGTTGGACGTTGCTCATTCACGGTTTGCCAAAGGCGGCCAGAAAAAGGCTAGGAAACTGTGACAAAACCCTAGGCAGTGTTAGGGAAGCTATCGGGGTCGGGAAACTTGGGGGTTTTGAGGAGGGCACAACGGTGAGTCAAATGGCAAGGTGGGGGATGATTTCCAATGAAGAGGGCTGCCTGAGAAAGGTTGAGAAATTGCTGAAGATGGTCGATGTTTTAGGAGTGATTGATGAAGCCAAAAGACCATCTTGCCCTCACTTATAATTGACTTTTGACCATCATGCCCTTCCTCACAATGAAAATTACTAATGGTGGGTAGTAAAGTGACTTTTTAAAAGATTGAGGATGGGAAAGTATCATTAAGGCATTTTTTGGGTGGGAAAAAGTCGTTAACTCAAAATATTAACAATCACTTGCTTGATTGATTGATCACTTAGTGGCCCTAGTCTCCAAACCGAAGCCAAATGGGAAGAGTGGATCATAATGTGGATCCCCAACATTCATGGGCAATTGATCAACTTTCTCGAACCAAGTTCTAGCCAATTCTCCTGTGAATGGATAGTCACCAAAAAGAACATCGCTCATTCCTTTGCCTTCACTTCCAAGGAGCCAAGCGACAACGAGAGCATCCACAGTCGAAACATATGGTTCGATCACCAAAGGGCAGTCGGAGATGACCACCACCACGCATTTTATGTTTCCGCAAACATTGTTGATTGTTTCTGACCCTGGAGACAGCAGCTTCAAGTTTAGTTTTTCTCCCTTTGTCTCGGCGTACGGCTTCTCACCGACCACGGCTATGGCGTATTAGAAGTTACAGGACTTGACAAAGTTAGTGTCAAGATTTTCTTGGAAGACAACATTTGTGCTTGGATCAACCGTGGTTCTTTTATTGCATTAAGAATGGTAGCTCCTGTTATACGCAAAACAAAAGCAGAATTTGTTGAGTCAATTAAGCTCAAATTAGTAAAGAATTCTGATTTATTATTCTTTTGTTACCTTCGCTCTAGTTATTTCCACTAGCTCTTTGCCACTCAATGGTCCAACCTCCACATTGGAAACCCAAATTATTAGTATGGGTTCTAGCAACAAGGATCTTTGAGGCTTTCTGTGGGAGAGGCAATTAAGGTTGATTTGGAGCTTTACCATTTTTAAATAGCACAAGTGACTTCCTCACAGCTTCTGTATCTAGTTCTCTATGCTCCTGAAGAAAATACAAAACAGCGGTTAAGAATAGTTAGAAGAGAAAATTGTTAAACTGTGCCGAATTTTGATACTTTATAAGGATCGATGCAAACTAGCTTTCATTACATCCAAGTTTGTCAACGAAACCGTAATCGCCCTATGGAATCTTTAAGAGGCCATGGCAACTTTTAATCTCAGAATTCCCCTTACAGCATCATCAATGCGGCTCATAGGAACACCTTCTTGTTAACAAGATCTGTAAGGCACCATGATCTGCACGTCAAAGATAAAGAAATCATTCTTAAATCATTTTCATACAAATGCAACATACTTGAATATAAAAAAAAATTAAGAGAAATTCCCCTATACAGTCGTCTTCAGTTATTTTGATTCCCAAATGTCAAAGTTTTATTTAAAAAGAACAAACAACCGTTAAATATTTGACTTAATTAATGTCCTTGATAAAAATAAGAGCAAATATAGTAGAATGTGTTAGATTATTAAGTCTAGCTCGATCTAGCTTGCTTTAATTAGATATTAAATCACGGTGAAATGTATCAAAGTCTAGTATTAAAGTTAGAGATCATATCTTTTTGTTGTTTCATTGAGGTATAATTTGTAAATCACTAAATTTAACAGCTAGATTTATCTTTTAAATAAAACCTTCACCTTTTGAGGAATTAAAATATTGAGTTGACTATATATGTCTAAACCCCTAAATTAATAAATAAAACTGACATGTCAATACCAGCATTTATTGAAGCTTCAACCGAATAAGTATAGTTTAAACTGTGCATAGGAGTAATTATGTTAATTCCTTCCCATCTAAGATGGTGAAGCCTACCATAAAAATGTTGGGCCAAGGTCCCTCCTATGTGAGGGGGGCCATTCAAAGCTCAATAGGGCTTGTAGTTAAAAAAGAATAAGAAAAAAAAAAAAAAAAAAAAAAAAAAAGTTGCAACAGACGAGGCAGAAAAGAAAAAGAGAGTTAAGGTTTTCATCTCTGCAAAGTCCCATCAAAGCTAGGGGTGTGGAAATCGATTAACTGAATGGATGGGGTGTTTTTCGAACCAAAAATTTTTCGGTTCAAACAATTTTCGAACCGAACCGAAACTGAATCGGAAATCATATGAACCGGTTTCTAACCAAATCGATAGTTCGGTTCGAAAACGGTTAACCAATTTTATACACAATATTAAATTGAAGAACAACTCTGCAACAAAACTTATTCAATGCCTCTGATTATTTCAACTTTAATACATATCATCATAACAAGAATCAACAAAATGTTAACACTGCAAAATAATCCCAACTTTCTTCCCAATCTTTTAACACTATCTCCTCAAATTTTAACTTCCCAATTGCATTTACAAGACCAAAATCATAGATTCATGAAGGAAAAACCAAAGAAAATAAAAAACTTACAAAACCTAAGAAACCCATTTGTATAGAACCAGTCGTTAAAGAAAATGGGAGATGAGGTGGTTGGTTAAGGCCAGGTGAATAGATGTGTGGAGAGAGAATTGCAGTTGCGCTGTGTGGATGGTGGTGGGGAAGCTTGTTGAGTGAAGGTGTAAGTGGTCCGATTCGCAACAACCGACAAGCTTCGATTTGGACTAGCCACATGTCATCAGCAACCAAACATAGCTTAGCATCTGGATTTGAAATGTGAAATTTTGGTTTTATATTTTAGAGTATTTTTACAAGGCAGAAAAAGGGAGTTTGTAATTGTGGAGAAGAAGCAATAAACATAAGTGGGGGCCAACAGGGGAAGGTGAGTAGTGGTGGGGTATTGAAACATGGAGTGAAGGAGAGTTTAAATTTTAATTAGAGATGATAGAGTTTCAAGGAATTAAATGCAGGCAGGTGTGCAGAGTTTGTCAGTTTTTTTATTTTAATTTTAATTTTTTAACTCTCTCGCTCTTTACTTCTCTGGTTTCAAGTTCAACTTTGGGGGACAATCAGCCTGTAATTAGTTCAAATTCTGTTAACCAAACCGATTTTTTCAGTTTTCTTAATTTAAAAGACCGAAACTGAACCGGTTACTTTGAAAAACCGGTTTTTTGGACAGTTTTCAAAATTTTTTTAGCACTAATTAAAGCGATGATCAAGCTCAAATTTGGAAGAGAGATTCACAACACAAGGAGCTACAATCTGAACAATGAAGATCAAATTGTGAGTTCTAGAACTGTGTTTGCTTTCGTGAACAGTATATGAGTTTTAGTGAGATTTTTCCAACCTCCTTTTGTTAGTCAGGTTTCCACTCAGATGATGATGTTCTTTATGATTATATTTCAAGATTTGGTTGTTCTGATGTTGTTTGTTGAATATATCTAATAAGCTAAAAAGAAATATGTAAGACAATATTTGGTTGATAGTGAAGTTTTTGATTGGATTTCGATCCCATGGTTTTTCCCTTTGTATTAAAGGGTTTTCCAAGTAAATTCAAGTGTTTTTGTGTGATTGTTTGATGCTGAATTGTTACTATATTAGTGTGATATTCTCTGTCAATAGTACAAAACTGGATCCTTAGTTTAGCCCAATGTGGTATCAGAGCTTGGTTGGCAATTTTATGTGTGTAGAGATGGAGTGTAACACCAGTAAAATGATCAATTTGGATGGGGTGAACTATCACGCATGGAAAGGTAAAATAGAAGATCTCCTTATTATAAGAACTATCACACTCCCCTTTTAGGTGATTTAGCTAAGCCTAAAAATATGAAGGATGTGAATGGGTTTTGTTGAATAGGCAACTATGTGGGGACATACGAACATGGGTGGATGATAATGTCTGCAATCACATTAGGAAACAAATGCTTATGTGTTTTGGAATAAACTAGATGAGTTATATGCTGGAAAAACGGTGGCAACAAACTGTGTTTGATGAAAAAGTTTTGAACTTGAAGTATAGAGATGGTATGCTATATGACCACTTGAATGATATGCAAGGTATTATTGATCAATTGGCCACATTGAAAATCTCTTTTGAAGATGAGGTACTGGGTTTAGGCTCCTAGGTTCTTTCTCGAAAAGTTGGGAAACTTACAGAGTCTCAATTATAAATTCTACTCCAAATGGAATCGTATCTATGGCTTTAGTTAAAACCAATTTGTTGAATGAAGCAACAAGGAGAAAAAATGCAATTCTTTATCAGGTGATTAAAAGGCTTTTGTGACAGAAAATCGGGGGAGGAGAAAATATAAAGGCTCCAATCATCGTGGCAAATCTCAAAGCAAGTCTAGAGCAAAGAAGGATATTGAATGTTATTATGATGGAAACAAAGGTCACATGAACAGGGGAAGAAGCAAAGGGACAATGAGCAGAAAATAGATGAAAGCAACACAATGATAGCATCCTCAGAAGAATTTCTCATTATTCATAAAGGTGACATGATTAATCTTACTTGCCAGGACTCTAGTTGGGTCGTTGACAGTGGTGCCACCATACGGTCCATACATGCTACCTCCAAAAAGAATTTCTTCTCACCATACACACCAAGATCATTCGATATAGTGAAGATGGGAAATAATGGTACGTCCATGATTATTGGTATAGGTGATGTATGCTTAGAGACAAGCAATGGTAGTAGGCTGACTTTGAAAAATGTAAAACACATTCCTGATATTAGGATGAATTTGATTTCAGGTGGAAAGCTTGATGATGAGGGTCATTGCAACATCTTTAGTGAAGGACAATAAAGGCTCACTAAAGGATCCATGGTTATGGCTTGAGGGAAGAAACGTCTACTCTCTATATGATGCAAGCTAAGGTGTCTAAAGAATTTCTTAATGCAATTGTTAGTGATTCCACTATAGAGTTGTGGCATAATAGATTAGGTCACATGGGTCAAAAAGGTCTGCAACACTTGGCTAAGCAAGGACTTCTACAGGGAGTGAAATTAGCAAACTTGAAGCGTTGTGTTCACTGCTTGGCTGGGAAACAAAGTAGAGTTAGTTTCTAGACTAACCCCCCATTAAGAAGGCCAGAGGTTCTTGACTTGATTTACTCAGATGTTTGTGGTCCTATGTCTACGAGATTACTTGGAGGTTCGGTATATTTTGTGACTTTCATAGATGATCATTCCATAAAAGTTTGGGCTTAAGTAGCTTTAGGCAATTGTTAAGAGGGAAATCGGGAAGAAGCTGAAATGCATCCTAATAGACAATGGTGGTGAAAACCGTTTACTAAAGCTAAAATGAAAAAAACCCCTTAAACAGTATTATTAAAATTCTATTTATTTAATAGCTTGTTAGTTGGATGTTTTTTAAGTTGTATATCACTATATCTTTCTTATAGGTTGGGTTCAATCCACTTGATAATTAAAGGTAATAATAAAATCTTTTAACATTACTATTTGACGATATTTTTGTCATTTTATTATTATTATTATTTTTTATGACCGGGATGTCTGGGCAGCTTATGCACAAGTCAACTAATCCCCAGAGCCCATTGAGCACCTTACAAACCCAATGTTCTAGGGTAAGCCATAAATATGGTAGGTGACCCCAAGGTCATTTGAACCACAAAAGTCAATGAAATGAGCAAATCAAAATAAAAACTCTCTATAGTAATACTCAAAAGTTTACCTAAAAATATAGTAAAAACTCTCTATAGTAATACTCAGGGGCGGATCCAGCATCATTGAGGGTAGGCCTTAGATTTTGAAAAAAAAATTGCAAATATTTATAATTAATTGTTTTTATATCAAAAAGGTACAAATATGTATGTCCCACAATCAAAGTAATTGCTATAATATGTTAATGCGGCAATGCCAAGTCCACCAATCATAAATATTGCGGCTATGCTGGCCCAGCAGTTTCATTATTATAAATATATTATATATATGCAGCCAATCTCCACGGCTTTTGTATCCCTAATTTTATTTAGTGAGTGCGCCTCTCTTTCTCTTTCTTCCTTGGTTAGTTGAAGTTACAATTTTTGAAGAATATTTTCTAGTTTATCAGTTTTAGGTATATATATTACTTATTTTAATTTAGTTTATTTTAGGGTTGAATCATGTTTGGTTTATTAGTGATTTTTTATTATGATGAAAAAATGTATGAATCTTGTGAGTTTGTTTTGTATTTATTTAATTTTGTAATTAATTGAAAGCATTATTATTAATTTATGACTTTAGATATCACAATTGCATCGATAAAATTAATTTTTTGTATAATTAAAGGCAACCTGATTTGCACCAATTATTAATATATTAATAATGGTATTTTTATTATTTTATAATGTGATTGGTTGGCTAAGTATGCTCTACTAGTAATTAAATTAAATCTAGATGATCTATGCCAATAATTTAAATAAGTCAAAAAATGGATTAGCAAATTATATAAGTTTTTAAATTTCAAGAAAATTAACACTATAAAATGATTAATTAATTACTAAAATAATCTTTTAATTAGATCTAATTGTTACATCTAAAAACATGATAAGTCAGACTTTGTAATTTTATTGATTAAAGTTTCATTAGTCTTTCTTTACATGTATCATATTATCTTTTTTTATTTGATAGCTATGATATCCAATTATTTCAAGAGATTAAAGAAAATTTCAATAGAAATTGTTGATGAAGACTCTACTGATATTGAGGTTAATCAAATCTCATTAGAAGAAGAAGTCCTATGTCAATGACAACAACACCATGTAAAAGAAGTTCAACCTTCGATCAGAATGTTCAATTTAGATGAGCTTGAAACTAATATAGGATTGAGGATACCAATTAACAAGATTTGTTGTACTGACAAGTAAAATAAGGAAGTTCGAAGAGCATACTTGTCAAAGGGTATTTGCCAACCTAAAGATCATAACTTTCCTTTCACTCTTTTTGGAGACAAAAAGCGTAGATTTACACCAGAGTGGTACAAAGAAAGTCCAAGTTGGATGGAATATAGTGTGGCAAAAGATTGCATCTTTTGTTTAAATTGTTATCTTTTCAAAACCGATTATAGCGACAAAGCAGGTGGTGAAGTTTTTGTGAGTAAGAGATTTAATAATTGGAAAGATAAAGCGAACGTGAAAAAACATGTTGGAGATCATTCTAGTACTCATAAACAATGTCATGCCAAGCGTGTTGATTTGATAAACCAAAGGCAACACATCGATGTAAATCTTGCTTGCATGTCAAAAAATGTCAAATTGGACTATCACATTCGTTTGAATGCATCAATTGATTGCATTAGATTTCTTTTACATTAAGGATTGGCATTTCGTAGTCATGACGAGTCGGTTGAATATGAAAATCAAGGTAACTTTATGAAACTATTAAAGTTTCTATTCAATCATAATGACGAAATAAAAAAAGTTGTGCTGCAATGCTCTGAAAAACTATCAAATGACGGCCCCCAACATCCAAAAGGGATTAACTATTGTTTTTGCTCATTTGATGATTAAGAAAATTATTGCAGAAATTGTGAGAGATAAACAACCGTTCTCTTTACTAGTTGATGAATCTCATGATGTGGCAGTGAAAGAACAAATGGCTATTATTTTTCGCTATGTGGACAAAATAAGTTGTGTTTTGAACGTTTTATCAAGGTTGTACATGTTAAGAATACTTCTGCAAAGTCTTTGAAAATTGCAATAGATGCTTTTTTTGTAAAGCATGGATTGAGTTTGACAAGTTTACGGAGGCAAGGTTACGATGGAGCAAGCAATATGAGGGGTGAGTTCAATGGTTTGAAGACTTTGATATTGAGAGAAAATAAACCAGCTTTCTACATTCATTGTTTCTCTCATCAACTCCAACTGGCGCTAGTCAAAGTTATAAGTAACCATTCGGCATTGGGTGAATTTTTTCAATCTCTTTCTATGGTATCAAATACTATAGCGGCATCTTGCAAGTGCAGAGATCTTCTACGTGATAAACAGTATAAAAATTTGATATCTTTAATTTCTAATGGTAATCTTCATATGGGACGAGGTTTGAATCAAGAATGCACTATTAAACAACCAAGAGATAAACGTTGGGTTTCACACATAGGGACAATTTGTAGTGTCATAAATTTATTTTCTTTTATTGTTGATGTGCTTAGGGTGATTGAGATTGAAGGAGACAATTGGCAAAACAAAAGTCAAGCAAGATGTTTATTATGAATCATGGAGAATTTTGAATTCGTCTTTTTGTTATTCTTAATTAAAAGAGTATTAGGAATCACAAATGAACTGTCATAAGCATTACAAAGAAAAGATCAAGATCTTCTTAATGTCATACAATTTATACAAATTTCGAAGCATCAATTGCATAAAATGAGAAATGAAGACACTTGTTTTGACATATTGTTAAAAGAAGTTTCTGATATGTGCAAAGATAATGACATACCAATCTTGGAGAATATGGAAGATAACTTTGAAAGGACAAAACGGGGGATTGTGTCAATTACGAATAAACATCATTTTAAGGTGGAATTGAATTATACAGTTTTGGATAACATTCAAGAAGAACTCAATAATTGTTTTGATGAAGTAAATATGAGGTTGCTTCAATGTATGGCATCTCTTGATCCAAGTAACTCTTTTGTTGCATTTAACAAAGATAGATTACTTGAATTTGCAAAGTTCTATCCTGCTGATTTTCCTCAACACGATATTTAGTTGCTTAATGATCAACTTGAAAACTATTATGAGGATGTTAGCACTAATTTCAATTTCGCTCATGTCAAAGGGATTGTCGACCTTGCTAAAAATAATGGTTGAGTTTAAAAAGAATGTTGCTTACAACAAAGTTTTCTTACTTATCAAATTAGCATTGGTTTTGCCTGTGGCTACTGCAACAGTTGAAAGGGTGTTCTCTGCAATGAATCTTGTGAAGAATAGTTTACGTAATCGAATGGGAAATGAGTAGATGAACAATTGCTTGGCGGTTTACATTGAAAAAGAAGTTTTTGCTACAATTGAAAATGAAGATATCATTGAACACTTTCAGAATATATCGAAGCGGAAAATCATGTTAAATTGAAGATCTTCAGGTATACTATTATAACTTGCTTTCATCTTCAAATAATCAATATTCATATATTCAAATTTTTCAAGTATACCATTCTAACTTGCTTTCATCTTCAAATAATAAATATTCATATATTCAAATTTTTCAAATATACCATTCTAACTTGATTTTTTGGTCAATATGCAGAGGATGTGTGGATTTTTAATCTAGACAGTTGAGTTTTGATATTAACATCTCAATTTAGAGTTATATAGCCTGAATTTTGATTGCTTCTCCGGTGATTTTAATCCTTCTCTTTGTAAAATTTTTTGTATTTTACTTGTGTTAGAGTTGTGATTGACCTCTAATTTGTGTAGAATATTTTTGGTGGATTATAGTTGTTGTAAACTCTTTTGGTTATATTGGATTTAAGTTCTTGTGGTTTTTTGCTCTCTTCACATTGAAAAGGTTTTTCCACGTAAAAATTTTCTTGTGTTTCCTTGTGAATTGAATGTTATTTTCAACACATTTGCTCAAAGTTTTACTTAAGGTTTAGTGGTTTTTTAAAAGTTTTTATTAATTGTTTGGCAAATAATTGTAGAGTCGTGGGGCCACCCCCTAGACAAAAATCCTAGCTCCACCACTGGTAATATTCTATATAAGAATAAACTTTAGATAGTCATAAAATTTAATAGTTTTTGGTGAATTATTATTTAGATAATGGTTTAATTGAAATAACTACAAAATGTTCTTAATAATTCGTTAAAATTGTTGCAATCGAATGCAAATATAAATTGGAGTTTGACAGGTAGAATACAACGCAATTAGTTTAATCTCACATATGTTTAATCTCATATGTCGAAAATGGTCAATCTTTTTGTTGTACTATAAAGTTTTTGAAATATAATATATATATTTATTTGGATTTTAAAACATAACATTGGAGATTGGACCATTGACTCACTTTTTAAAATTCCTAACACCTCCCTTTAATCCCTCTCAAATATCAAACCTAAATATAGAGTGAATGAAAAATCTTTTAACCACATTTCTTCCTTAAGAACAAATAACATGTGAAAGGTGAAACCGAAAGTTTAGTCAATTGTTCAAATATTAATGGATATAAAATTTGCTCTATCCCTTTTTTTCTGGTTCACTAAATTTAGCTTAAGATTACACTGTCCTTAATTAGCTAATTCATTTCTTATATAAACCTTTCTTTAGTTTAATCAAATAAATATTGTATAATATTCAATTACGAAAGTAGTATAATAAAAACCATGAAGATATCAAGAAATTTGATCCTCCTGGTGGGGTTTCTATATCTGTGTTGCTATGGCTCCTTGGTAATTGCCAAGGATCAAGAGGATGAATCAAAGTCTGATTCTGGAAAAGAAGACGAAAACAAAGAGTCTAAAATGATATATAAAGATCCAAAACAGCCCACCGAATCAAGAATCAAAGACTTGTTAAAGAGAATGACTCTTGCTGAAAAGATTGGTCATATGACTCAAATTGAAAGAGTTAATGCAACTTCTGATGTCATGAAGTCTTACTTCATTGGTAAATGAATTTCCTTTGTTTTACGTATGCATGCACATATTATAACAAGCTCAGCTGATTATATCTCTTGAAATTATATAAAACATCTTTCGAATCGAATTTCTCTCACAGTAGAACATGAGAGACGGATCTTTTGAGATTATATAAGAGGTATTGAGATCTAGTCTCTCTTACACTATAGAAGGTGAGAAAGGGTTTGGTACTTTGGTTTAACAATAATGTTTTGTTTACAATTGAATCATATAACTAGATAAAAATTTATTTAAAATTACTATTTCGCCTTTCGTTTTTTGTTCGATTGTATGATTCAGTTGTAAATATATCTTTTCTCATGCGAGAAAGGGTTGAATTTAAGTTTATAAGTTTAAACATAATATATTGCTAACTAGTTAAGTTAATTAGATCTCTTAATATTGTATAATTCTTTCGAATTAAATCCTTCTCATAGCAAAATATGAACAGATTTTTTGAGATTATATAAGAGGCCTTGAGATCGAATTTCTCTCCCACTAGATCTGAGAAACGGTTTGGTTTAAATTTATAAGTTTGAACAATATATCTTACTAACTGGTTCAGTTTATTAGATCTCTTGAATTTTTACTTCTCACAACAGAATGTGAGAAAACAAATCTTTTGAGAGTACACAAGAGGTCTTGAGATCAGATCTCCCTCACACTGGAATGTGAGAAAGCGTTTGGTTTAAGTTTATAAGTTTAAACAATATATATACTCGATTGGAATTTCGAATCTTGAAATTAAGTATATTGATTATTGCAGGGAGTGTTTTGAGTGGAGGAGGAAGTGGTCCTGCTCAAAATGCAACGCCACAACAATGGGTGGATATGGTGAATGAGATGCAGAAAGGGGCTCTGGAAACACGTCTTGGGATTCCAATGATTTATGGAATTGACGCTGTTCATGGCCACAACAATGTTTACAAGGCCACAATTTTCCCCCACAATGTTGGCCTTGGAGTCACCAGGCAAGTGACCATTTTTATCTTCCCAAAAATTAATTTCATTATATATTCTCCCACAATTAATTCATAATTTCTCTTCATTTTCCAGGGATCCTAAACTTGTGAAGAGGATTGGAGCAGCAACTGCCCTCGAAGTTCGAGCAACTGGCATTCCTTATGCTTTTGCCCCATGCGTCGCGGTAAATAATTAAGTTTAAAATTCTCTTTTGATCTGAGCTTTATCTGAAAAACGTATTGGCATATATATAAAATAATATATTTACTTCGTCGTAAATAATACAGGTGTGCAGAGATCCGAGATGGGGAAGGTGCTATGAGAGCTACAGTGAGGATGTGAAAATTGTGCAAAGCATGACTGAGATCATCACAGGTTTACAAGGAGATTTCAATCCCAATGAAGTTAAGAAAGGCTATCCATTTGTTGCTGGAAAGTAAGAATCATCTATTCATAATTTTTTTTTCCCTTGCTTCCTTTAATTGATTTATAAATCTCTAATGTTTTATATATCTTGGTTCAGAGACAAAGTTGCTGCTTGTTCAAAGCACTTTGTTGGAGATGGTGGCACAGTTAACGGCATTAATGAAAACAACACCATTGTTAACGAAAAGCAATTGATGGAAATCCACATGCCTCCCTATTATAATTCAATAAATCTTCGTGTGTCGACTGTTATGATTTCTTATTCAAGTATTAACGGAAAGAAGATGCATGCAAACCGTGATCTGGTTACTGGGTTTCTCAAGAACAAACTAGGGTTCCAGGTACGTAATCTAATTCGAAAACAAAAAACCTGTATATTATGATCATTGGCGGGACAGACAGCCCATATGATACGTATGTCCTACTTAAATTTTTTTTTTTAACTGATTATAATAATCGAATCAGTTTTGATTTATTGTTTATTGAATTTTGATAACAGGGTTTTGTAATCTCAGATTGGGAAGGAATTGATAGAATCACTCCTGTACCACATTCAAACTATAGTTATTCTATTGAAGCTTCAGTGAATGCTGGTATTGACATGGTGAGTTCTATTTATTGAAATAAATTGAAGAATTTATATTAGATGTTTTACTAAATGTTAATTTCTTTGGTTTTTGATGGGCAGATCATGGTTCCTTACTTGTACGACCAGTTTATTGGTAATCTGACAGAACTTGTTAAGAACAATGTTATTCCAATGAGCCGCATCGATGATGCTGTAAAGAGGATTTTAAGGGTCAAGTTTACCATGGGACTCTTTGAGAATCCATTGGGTGATTACAGTTTTGTTGACAAGGTTGGATGCAAGGTAAGCTCGTTTGCATTGTCGTAAAGTATCGAAAATTCTCTTGTGCAAACGTATGCATTTCCTCAAAATTTGATGTAATCTTACATCCCAATTGATTGTCATCAGAAGCATAGAAAACTAGCAAGACAAGCTGTGAGGAAATCACTTGTGCTATTGAAAAATGGCAAAGCTCCAAATCAGCCTCTATTGCCTCTCCCAAAGAAAGCCTCAAAGATCCTTGTTGCTGGAACGCATGCTGATAATTTGGGTTTCCAATGTGGGGGCTGGACAATTGAGTGGCAAGGAGCCAGCGGAAATAATTGGACCGAAGGTAATAAAAATGGATCTGAATTCTCTCTTGACCTAAACTTCACTCCATGGTTAATGTTACTGATTCTGGTTTTACATTTGAACAGGAACCACTATTCTTAAAGCCATCAAAACCACAGTTGATCAAAGCACAAATGTAGTCTTCCAGGAGAATCCTGACACTAACTTCATCAAGTCGAATAACTTTGAATATGCCATCGTGGTGGTTGGTGAGAAGCCTTATGCAGAGACAAAGGGAGATAACCTGAACCTCACCCTGCCAGCTCCAGGGCCAAACATCATCAACAATGTTTGCCAAAACGTAAAATGCGTGGTGGTCCTCATCTCTGGCCGCCCTCTGGTGATGGAACCACATCTTCCAACCATGGATGCTCTTGTTGCTGCATGGCTTCCCGGAAGCGAAGGGAGAGGAGTTGCTGATGTTCTCTTTGGAGACCATCCATTCACTGGAAAGTTAGCTAGAACTTGGTTCAAGAGAGTTGAACAACTCCCCATGAATTTTGGGGATCCAAATTATGATCCACTCTTCCCCTTTGGATTTGGTATTGAGACCAAAGGAAGAAAATAAGTAAGTTTGTTTTAGATAGTCTTCCCTTTTGGAGACCAAAGCAAACCATTACGTTAAAGAGAATTTGCTTAGAGACATGCCTATTCTTTTTTTTTTTGGGAAAAGTCTTACAGACATGCTTGTCATATGATAGTAAGTATATTTCTAATTTTACCTTCAGTACTATAGAGGAAGGAATAAATTAAATGATCAGCTATCAGTATGTATTGTGTTTACAAACAAGCCATTCAATAAAAAGAGCTTCATAGTATGAATATTCCCATGTTTTGTATTTTTTTTTTTTTTTTTTTTTATAACCGAAATGTGGATCATACTACTTCAACTAATTCTAAGACACATTGAACCACGTGTTTTGTATTTCCATCTGACTGCAGAAAACTTGCATCATCATCAACCACATCACATTACAATGTTATATTTAAATATTATCTAACAAGATAATGTTATTTAATGTCGCATACAAAACATAACCTCTGTGTCCTAAATACAAGAACCCTAGCTACCTCGAGACATTCCAATTACAAAATGAGAAATTATTCTAGAAAGAGACATGGAAAATTCAATCAACAAACCAAACTAAGATTTGTGAATAGGCTTGTCTTGTAGCATTAGTATATTTCTAATTTTACCTTCTTATGAGGAGGAAGGACAATTAATGATCAACCATCCAGCTTAGTATCACCATAGGGTGAGCCAAAAACCGGGTTTGCTCAAACCGCAAGGTACCCACTCCATTCCAGTTTCTAACGAAACCAACACTTGCAATAGTGTCTCGATTCCCAAATTTAAGAATCAATAGCATTCTGTTCTAATCCCACCACTTTAAAGAATTTGAACTGTCCAAGAACCGAAACCAAAACCGGAATAGGGTTCTCAATTTGGAACCGTTTAAGAATCGACTCTCAACCTTTTTTTTTTTTTTTTTTTTTTTTTTTTTCTTTCTTACTCTCTGTGCACATTTTCTTTTCCTTTTCATATTCTCTCTTAAACAAAAAGCTATTGTGTTTAATGGGAACCAAAACAACCTACCTACATCATCGACCACATTTGAGTCAGATTCAGTCATGTAATACCTCGCGCCACCCTTGTTTTCTCTATATTTCAGCTGTCGACCATGACTGCTTGCACCTGGGTTTCCTTCTATTGCTTGTCAGGCGTCAACTGCTCTGAAACTACCCCATCATTGCGATCATTTGAGAGATCATGCACCTTTGCCATTGCACGCGAGTCTCCGCCGCTACTCAGTAGTCGCAATATGCATAGTTTGAGCCACCACCAGCTTCTCATTTGTCGTGCCTCATCATCTACAATCAACCCCCACCAAGAAAACGTCACATCTCCACTGCTACACAACCATCCACCCCTTTCACCACAGCCTGTTGCGTGCGATTTTCCTCACGCGATTGATTGTTCTTTAATAGTTGTTTGTTTTGCTGATTTGGAGTTTTGTTGGAGTTATTTGGTTGAAATTGGAGTTTGTTGTTAGGCTACCCCCCATTTGACAAAAATCCACCCCCCACGCTTCGAGCATAGGGTTCTCAATTTTGTGGGTTAGGTAGAACTCTCCTTGGAAAACCGATTTGCCAAAGGAGGGTGCCCAAGACTTTACAACCCACATGCCCACCATTTTCCCTCTTACTGTGGGATTCTAACATTCCCCCACACTTCGAGACCCAACGTCCACGTTGGCCCACTCTGGACATCTTCACTTTGGATGGCCTACTCTCTCAAGTGGCCCCTTCCCAACAACTCAAACAAATGATAGGAACCCACCTCAACAACTCAAACAAATGGGCTAGGCCATACGTCTTTTATGGGCTTTGGTATAACTCTCCTTAGAAAACCGGCTTGTCAAAAGAGGGTGCACAAGCCTTTACAACCCACATGCCCACCATTTTCCCTCTCAATATGGGGTTCTAACATTCCCCCATGCTTCAAGACCCAATGCTCTTGTTAGTCTTCTTTTTGGAGAGCGTCTACCCTCATCGGCCTTTACTACCCTCCCTTTGGGTCTTACTTCGCTTAGAAGTCTATCAGGCCCTAAAAGCCTGTCAGTAACTCTCATTCTCGGCCCCTTGGGGAGCCCATTGGGCCCTGCTACGTGGGCTCCACGTCGACCCCTTTCCCTCTTAGGTGACTTCGCAGATCCCCTTTCCTTTGGGTAGCAGCCTGAGCTCAAGGTCAGTATGTCAAGCGTGCGCAGGATCATACTCTGATACCAATTGATAAGACAACTCAAACAAATGGGTTAGGTTATGAGTCTTTCATAGGCTTGGGTAGAACTCTCCTTGGAAAACCGACTTGCCAAGGGAGGGTGTCCAAGCCTTTATAACCCACATGCCCACCATTTTTCCTCTCAATGTGGGATCCTAACATATTCAGTTTACAAACTACATCATTCAATGAAAATAGTTTTGTAGTACAATAAAGTTTTGCTTACAACTAAATCATACAAACAGACAAAAATTATACAAAATTTATGTAAAATGACTATCATGTCCTTTGTTTTTTATCTATTTATATGACTTAGTTATAAGCATAGCATTGCTCTTTGTAGTATGAATATTCTCCTATCCTGTTTTTGTATCTCAACAACATAAAATTTACATCAAACAATCCTACCACATCAGCATTATGGTGTCACTTAAATATTATGTTAAAAAGATAATGTTATTTAATGTCGTGTACCAAACATAACCTCTATGTTCTATGATACAAGAACCCTAGCTACCTCAAGACATTCCAATTGCAAAATGAGAAATTACTCTAGAATGAGACATGAATGAAAATTTATAATCAAAGCAGCACTTAAGATTTGAGAAAATAGTAGTAGCTTGAAATACTGACAGCGAAAAGGCAATGCCTGATCTTGATTGAATTCATAGATGCATAATAAAATGAAATCTTAGAGAAAGAGGCCTATTGTCATACATCAGACTAAATTAGCTAAAAGTTATATCAGAGAAAAAGAATAGTGGGACAAAGCATACTCAGGTGATAATTCCATTTTGTACCATTGGGTCAACCTCATGTAGAATCCCTTTACTTTTTGGATGTCGATCCAATGGTAAAAAGTTAAAAACTAGTAAAAAAAAACTCTTACCAAAAAAATAAACTTTTAAACTTGCTTTAGTTGTCAGAGTTAATTCCACAAGACATTTTTTTTTTCCAGCATACAAAATTTTGCCTACACATCAAATATGACAATCACAAAATATCTTCTTGTGCGTACCCACTTGACTTTCACTTTAAGAGACTTCTTACTTCAATTTTCTACAACATAATGTCTAAAGACATTCCTAATTTTACAATTTGGATACCCGTGCACTACTAAAATATAAATCCCTACAAAAACTACATTCGGCCTACTCAAAGTACTAAAAAGAATCACCAAATTCAGCCGGAAAGAAAAAAAAAAATTAAATAAATTTCTTTAGTACAAATGAGAAGATGTAAATTTATAGTCTAATTTTAGTCGTCAGAAACATCATCCCCATATACACCATTATTGACATCCTGGTCTATGGTAGATTTAGATTTTACTTTTGACAACCTACCAGATGTTTTCACGGGTTTTCTGACCTTCTCTGCCTGCAGCTCCAATCCCTTCTCTGAAGGCTTCCGTTTTCTTTTAATACGTGTTCCTCCAGTGTCCTCTGCAACAAAATTGTCCATCACAACATTAATAATTTAACTGAAAGCAAAAGAAACTGGCACGTTCAGATGAAAATCTAGGAAAATGAATTTTCAATTTAAACTATCAACAATGAATACTTCTATGCTAATTACCAAAAATTAAATCTAAGTTTGCACCTTTCTTGCTAATAACAAAACTAGCATGGAAATTTCCCTTCATCTGAGACTGCCAATTTAATTGAATTCCCAAGAGCAAACAAGGCATAACAGACAAAACCAATGTTTTCCTCACATTATAACATGAATGAGAACTCCAACTTAATGATCCAATGGCTAAGAAACATTACAATTGAATACTAGTATCAAGAAGGTACAGCTTTTGGCTGAAATGATCTCCCAACTTTCTCCCACTTTTAGTATTTAACATACTCAGAAATCTCCCCACCTTATTTCAGAGTTGACCAAGTTCGAAATTAATTGAAAGTAAAAGTAGTGAATCAAATAATTGGAGTCATTAGAAAGAAGGAATTGTGCACTCAAAAAACTTAATCAGCTAGAACTTGTGAATCCACTGAGATTTAAGTTCTGCTTCTCTCCTATGGTAATTACTCTTTTATGCTAACACATTCATTATGTCTATGATTCCTAAGAAGTGGGGTTGCTTAAATTATTGTAATAGGAAATTTTGAGGTTCTCAAAGAGAACCAAGTTATCCTAACTTAGAAATGTGTACAGTAGCATCCTAGCCAACTCAAGAACTTCCATATATCGCATACATCCCATTTCAAAATAATTGAAAAAATTATAAACAATACTATGGTAATTAATAAAATAGATTAATGGGCTGATGTAGCTTAGTTTAGGTTTTATTTTTTATTTTTTTAAATAATGATATAATTACTAATTTGAGTGGCATGGAAAAGAAATCACATTCGCTAGGATTTCTAGGCTTTTAATAGGAATTCACGGGGTTAAAACTCTGGAGACTTCTTGGTGATAAAAATGACGACAGCAGATTCTTTGCTTCATCCTAATTTCTCTTCTTCTTCCCTTTGGATTCTCTCAGCTTCTCTTGTCTACTGTTCACAACATCTCTCTAATTCCCTTCGCTGCAAATCCACAACGTCTCTATCTCAATCTCAATCTCTCCTCTCACTCTCACATTACCTCTATATTTCATTTGGTAAAAGAGTTTTGAAAAAAGTTTGTTTCATCCATCACTCTACAATAACCAACCAACTAATCATCTTTCACAAGGGATAAGAACGACAATCTTTAATTACAAGTATTTAGAAATACATCTACAAAGGATCAATCAGAGTTCTATTCAATGGACAGCTAAATTGTTAAAAACCTACTAGTTTGGTTCAACTAGTCATCTTTCATAGTCTATTTTGGTTTTGGAGTTCATGAATCTACTTTGTTATGTATACCCACACCTGCGACTTTAAGCGATTCAAAAACTTCCAAACTGAGATTAACCAAAAAAAAAAAAAAAAAAAATCTTTCTCTTTTCAAAATATATACTGTACAAATGATATTCCTTAAAATTTC